GACAAAATTATTTGCTGAAATGTTTATTTATTTCATTCCGGCACGTTAGGCCCTCCGTACCACAACGGTACTTAAACAGAGAAAAGGGAGGGATTGACCAAAGTGCGTGGCAGCAGCTCGAGCCATCGGTTTACTTTCCCCTCGAAGTCAGCGACAGCCACAGTCAGTAGCACAAGGTGTTGGATGTGTATAGTTGATTTTTTTGGACGCTTTCTTTTTTACCTAGGTACTCTTGCGTACAAAGTATGAACAAACTTGTTTTTTACTTTTCTGTCTGTGTTTTTTTTTCTTTCTTTCTTTCTTTTTTTTTTTTTTTTTTACCTTTTTCTTCTGCAGTTTAAGGTTAATTAAGTCATAACTACAACTTAACAGTGTACTTAAAAGTGTTTTCTGCTTTATATATTACTTGTGACAAATAACAAAGTTTTGAGTTAATTTTCTGGCTGTGCAGGTTATGAACTCTGTCATGTTTGTTTAAGGTGTAACTGCAGATTCTTAACTGGATTTGTCTCAACACGTTTAGCGTTTTGAGAACCTTTAACCAAAACGAGTAAGTGCGATTAAACATTTAGACTAATACAAACACACACATATGATGACGAGTTTTTGTTTTTTGCCACTTTGTTTTGTTTTTAAGCATTCATGCATTTCAGTTAAAATTGTTTTAAAGCTGCTGAGAAAACATACAGAAACTGTGGATGCCCCGCAGTTATACAGTGGAGGCGACATGCAGGCAAAAGGTTGTTGGATTGGTGCAGATAACCGTTAATTTTGTGCAATTGCTTTTCATATTATGCAGTGTTAAGTGACAGATATGGGAAAGTTCTGCATTCAATGTGGTTTCTGTTTTGCTGAACCGCAGTAAGTTCAAAATGTGAATAACTTCTGGTTGTTATCGTTTATGTGCAAAAACAAATACAAAATACTACATAGGCGTGGGGGGTGTTAGAATTAAGTACTTTTAATACAAAAAAAAAGTTTTAAAAGCAACAAAAACAAAGTTCAGCAACCCTTTAGAGAACTGAGTGTTTGAGTTATTGTTGGTGTTGATGTTACTCAAGATATCAATTATCTGTCATTAACAGCAGATTTTCATAGAAAATCAATTTTCTATGAAAGATTGAGTTTTTTTATTTTTTGAGGAGGGGGTTGTTTGTTTGTTTGTTTATTTACTCTGTTAAATGTCTAGGCAAGGGGAAAAAATCAGTTGATTTTTATTTATTTAACACCAGTTTGCACAAACTGTTCCCTTAAGGTCTTTATAGTGAAAGATGAAGACTATGATAGAGAAAAACCTGACACGCATACAAGCCCCTGGGGGGAAACACTTCTTTGAGACAGGAAGAGGCCTTTGGCAAACCCCGATTCAGGAAGGGCTAGCCATCTTTACTGTGAATAGTTGGGAGATGAGTGGAAAAAGAAGAGAAACAAGTGGTTCATGGATAAGCAAAGGAAAACACAAACTATGGTAGAATGTAGATAAAAGTTTATGAGAAATTGAAGGAAAATACTTTGTGCATCATAGTAAGTTGTCTAATTGGATGAGCCTAGAGCAACTTCAGTGTTAGGCTTGGCAGTACAGTGGTGCAGTGGTAAGCTCTGCTGCTTCAAAGTACAAAGCTATTGGGTTCAAATCCAGTCGGGGACCTTTTGCATAGTGTTTCTATCCTCTCGCTGGGTACTCTGGGTTCCTCCCACACTCCCTGAATTGAATAAGTGATGGCAAAAAAGTATGAATGGTTTGCCGTCACCTGAACCAACCCTAATTGCAAGGGGTTGTTTTTTTTTGTTTTGATTTTTTTTAAAGCGAGGCTTTAATCCTAATCACAAAACTAAGAAAATTAAGTCTTGTCATTGTTTTTTAATTTTAGTAAGGGTTTAGACATGGTGAGAAAAGTTCATTAAAAAAAAAAAAAGATTTACTTTCAGGACAGGTTCTGTGCCTGAACTTGCCACAGTGTTTATTTACTAGGAACGAACTGGAAATACAGCAACAGCTTTTGCATTATGAGTTTTAATGACAATGAAGTATATCGCTGTGTTCCATATAACATAGCATTTCATAATGTTTTACCTGTGTTGCTGTCCTCTCTCTGCAGCATCCGTTCCAACTCTTACTCTGTCAAGATGTCTGGAGACCAAAGTAACACAGGAGAAGACTATTGTATTCCTGAAGACAACAGCTTGGTCTTCACTCTGGTTCCACCCTACATCCTGGTCATCAGCGTGCTTGGAATCATCTTTAATGTGTTTGTGCTGATGGTTTTCTGCCTCCACAAGAAGGCCTGCACTGTGGCTGAGATATACCTCAGCAACTTGGCTGGAGCTGACCTTGCTCTGGTGTGCTGTTTGCCCTTCTGGGCTGAATATACAAGAAAGGGATTTGACTGGCCTTTCAGTGAAAGCCTGTGCAAAGTGACATCAGCTGTTATCTACATGAATGCGTTCTGCAGTATTTACTTCCTTGTTATGGTTAGCATAGATCGTTATGTGGCACTGGTGCACCCGCTTTCCCATGAGAGGATACGCAGGCTGCTTTATGCCAAACTGGGATGTCTGTTTGTGTGGGGTCTTGGCTTGGTCTTTGCTCTCCCCATATTCATCTACAGGAAGTTAGTATTCAACCCTCAATTAAATCTTACTCACTGTTCACTTAACTTAACTTTTCCAGAGCAATATCTGGCTTATGAGGTGACAACCATAACATTCAGCTTCATCGTCCCTGTTATCATTATTTTGTTCTGCACTGTCAAAATTATTCAAGCTCTGAGAAAGAGGCTAATGGAGGCTTTAAACATTCAGAAAATGGATCAGAAGGCCACCACTCTCATCCTGGCAGTTCTCCTGGCATTCCTGATCTGCTGGGTGCCATTCCACGTGACAAAGATACTAGATGTGCTCCAAAACACTGGCATTCTGAAATGCCACATCACACTGATCGTCATCCAACAGATCTCTACGTACTTTGCCTTCTTCAACAGTGTCCTTAACCCCATTCTCTACGTCTTAGTAGGGAAAACTTTCCAGAAACGAGCAAAGGAACTCTTCATGTTGTGGAACAAGAATCAAACAGCATCTTTCAGCCGAGTGTCCACACGCCTGACAAGTTTTAAATTGTGATCATAGCTCAAAGTGATGTGCAGGACTGCAATCTTTTGAATGTGTGCTGTGATGGTTTACCCAGTTAAATGGACAATTATTTACTCAGGCAAGGAGAAAAATGTTGTTTTTGTAATCTGAATGTTTGTTGGTTTTTTTTAACATTGTGCATGCATTACTTTTTCTTCAGAAAGGGATATTTAGCCATAACATGTTTATTTCCTAGAGGTGGTAGTGAAAGACTGTCAGTCTGTCTCTGCTTGGTGTAGTGAAGTCTGAGCGTTCTTTGACCGTTTCTCCAGTTGGAACATAACTCCTGGCTTTGGCTAAGAGAAAGTAGCATGCAGAAGACAGCTGGCATGGAAGAAAGGCTAAAGATAACTAGCAAGTCGTCTGAAATGTGATTCATGCAACACTCATGAAGTTAAAGAATGAAAATACACTGTTAGAAAAAAAGTCACAATAGGACCTTTTTATTGTCTTGGGCTTTGTTCCATGTTTCATCAGACTCCGACAGAGGAGTGAATAACAGGAGACATTACCTCATACCTCAAACAAGTTTTGTTTTACCAACCGTCCATGAACCCATATCTGTTTAGATGTCACATTTTGAAAAATATAATTATATAACTATAATTGCAAATAATTACATTTAAGGCCATATTTGAGCTTTCGTTTGTGCTAAATTTCAATGAAGTTAAAATTCAATGGCAAGTAAGGGTGTGGTTGTTCTTCAAAACCAGTGATCCAGTAAAGCTTTCTCTTGACATCCTGTTGACATTCGTAGCATGACAGGATATGAAGCTCAAATTTCAAATGTGCCATTCTACTGCTTATCCTCTAATTGATATCTATTAGACACAATTTCAGATTGAATGCCATAATAACCCTGCTACATAATTGAATAGCATTCCCACCTTTATTTTATATTGCACATGTGATAAACACAAGCTGAGATAATGAAACAAATATGCAAAAGAGACGGCAGCAGTTTAACAGTGTTTATACTATTAACATAATATTTGCATGGTTAGATTTTCCACTTCACTTGTGTGCATGGTTATGTAGTTGGAGTGCTCTGTGCTGTGGCATGATCCAGATTTACTGCTACCAACTTGGAATGTTTCAGTGATGAACTTAAAAAAATTCAAAGAGGGATTTTTTTTTTTGCATTATATTAAAGTATTGTGCTTCTATTCCCGTTACATCAAAAAGAAACTCTGCGTGTATATATGCAAGGGTTTTGACCTCCTAAGACCTGAACTCTTTAATGGCATGCATTTTTAATTTTTTTTCAGGCTGATTGGGACCTGATGATTGTAAAAAAAAAAACAAAAAAAAACAGAGAAAGAATTATGTGATTTTCTTTTTTTTTTGACCTGATTTTCATTTCTAAGAAAAATAAGATCCACATATGAGGACATTCGCTTTAAATTTTGATAGAACAGTAGCAGTATGTCCTCACAAGTGGATATTGGGCCCTTGTAGAGAATAATAAAAAAAAATAAAAAGTAGTATTGTGGTCTGGACAACCCTAAAATGTGATGTCCACATATGTGGACGCCAGGTCCTAGGAGGTTAAATTTACAGTTTAAATACAATTAACAATGCTTTAAGTAGTTTATTTACTGTTTAAAATCACTGCTGGACACTGAAATGCATACCTCTTTTTCACAGCACTTTTAATGTAACACTCAATATTAATCACTTGTAGACAATAAATAAATAAAACATTCCAGACTTCTGTTGTCCCTTGTGGTGTGGTTCTTTGTTATTTTTAATGCTTCTTTAAGCTGCCCATCATGAGTCTTACACTTTTAAAAAACAAGTCTGTATCCTCTATACTTCAGGTTCAATCTGTGGAATGAGCCCCCCCTGGTGGGCCAGTGACCCACTACAAGTGAGGATGTGGACAAAAAGTATGGAATTAAAGATTGAGTAGGAAAAATTAACATTTTGCAGATTTATAAGCAGTCTGCAGTTACTTTATATCTGTGCAATGTCAACGTCAAATTCTATTAGAAACCACCAAAACATTTTAAATAAAATGCAATTCCTAAATTTTGCAACAGTTAAATGTCTGTGTTGCACTACATGTCGTGCAACACAGAGCAGACGCAGACACAGAGCAACACAGAGCAGATATGGCCACAAATCAGAGATGGCATGAGTTTTATACACTGGATGGCAGCAACTCCAACAAGCCTTTATTTGGTAAGTAAGAACCAGCTCTCTATGCAAGACATGTGGTTAGTGGGCTGTCTATGCCTGCTTTGTCTCAAGAGTGCACATTGCAATATCCAGAGGTGGGAAGTAACGAAGAACAAAATATTTTGTTACTGTACTTAAAATTTTCAGGAGGCTGTACTTCACTTGAGTATTTATTTTTCCGACAGCTTTTTACTTTTACTCCCTACATTTTTAAACAAATTTAAGTTCTTTCACGTTTACATGTTCACAACAGGCTTATTACTTTTGGTTTAACAGATTTGAAGGCTGTTATTCTTAGGTCACTGTGGGCCTTCGAACAGGAAACAGATTAAAGCCTAAACAGTAACACATGAAAGGCAGTCCTGTTCACCTATTAATCAACAGGGTATGTGGCACACAAAGAGATGAAAAGGGGAACACTGCATGCCATAATCAACTGTTAAAGTGGGCTGGTGTTTTTATTTATTCATTGCTTATATTTATGTTTTTTGGCACAGCACCATGACAACTGCAGGTGTCCACAAGTTGTGGTTGCAGAACTTCAGTATGCAGCTGGCCCTGCAGGGGCCAGTTCAGAGGCAACTGTGGTGAATTCAAAGTAAAGTGCGGTGTGTGACTGCCGTGTGGCTGTGGTTTCATGGTCAGAGTTAAGTTGCATCAAGTGTAGCAGAGATTAATTGAAGTTAAGCTACTGATGCTTAGATTCAATCAATGAATTCCACCTTCATGCCACCTAGAAAAAAAAGACAGCACGTAGTGTACTGTCGGTGTAGAGAATGGAAATACAGGACAACTCATGAAACATCTGCAGACATCTTGTTGAATTCAGTTGTGTACATCCACAAACAGCAGCAGATCAGGTTATCGCAGCCTGTACACTAAGAAAATCTAGTGGAGCCCACAATAGAAATTGTGACTCTTTTTCCACATTGAGCAGTTAAAGCAGATTTTAGGGCTCCCCTGCCTACTGAATCCCACAAACCTCTTCCCTACTCATTTTCCCGTTTAGAAGCAAAGTCACCCTCTACAATATAGGCAACAGAAAATAAAGCTTTTTTTCGTTACTTTAGGTTCAAGGT